AATCCCAACTCCACTAGCAAGTTAGGTCACCAGATAACGAGTGGCTATATCATCCTGTCAGATTCTAGGGGTACCCATGAGGGATCAGGATATCTTTCTTTTTTTTTCTTTGAATATAAATTTATTTATTTTTAGTTTTCAACATTCACTTCCACAAGTTTTTGGTTCCAAATTTTTGCCCCATCTCACCCCTCCCCCCACACCAAGATGGCATGCATTCTGAATATCCCTTCCCCTAGTCTGTCCTCTCTTCTATCTCTCCGCCCTTCTCTTATCCCCTTCCTCTTCCATTTTCATGTAGGGCAGGATAGACTTCTATACCCCATTTCCTGTATTTCTTATTTCCCAGTAGCATGTGAAAACATTTTTTTAAACATATGTTTTTAAAACTTTAGGTTTCAAATTTTCTCTCTTCCTCCCTCCCCACCCACCCTCATTGAAAAGGCAAGCAACTCAATATAGGTTATACATGTGCAGTTATGCAAAACACTTCCATAGTAGACATGTTGTGAAAAACTAACTCTATTTCCCTTAATCCTATCCTGCCCTCCCATTTATTCTATTCTTTCTTTTGACCCTGTCCCTCCTCAGAAGTATTTGCTTCTGATTACCCTCTTTCCCAATCTGCCCTCCTCTCTATCATCCCCCTGCTCTCTTGTCCCCTTCTCCCCCTATTTTCCTGTAGGGTAAGACAGATTTCCATACCCAATTGAATGTGTATGTTATTCCCTCCTTAAGCCAAATCCTATAAGAATAAGATTCCTCATTCCCTCTCACCTTCCCCTGTTTCCCCTCCACTGTAAGAGACTTTTCTTTCTTTGTTTTTTTTTTGTGAGATAATTTACCCCATTCTACCTCTCCCTTTCTTCTTCTCCAAGTATAATCCTCTCTCATCCCTTAATTTTATTCTCCAGATATGACCCCTTAATCTTCAACTCACCCTGTGCCCTCTATCTATCTATTTATACATACATATAATTTTTTTCCTCAACTACCCTAATACTGACAAAGGTCTCATGAGTTATAAATATCATCTTTCCATGCAGGAATGTAAACAGTTCAATCTTAATAAGTCTCTTATGATTTCTCTTTCCTGTTTACCTCTTCATGTTCCACTGGAGTCCTGTATTTGAAAGTCAAATTTTCTATTCAGCTCTGGTCTTTTCATCAGGAATGCTTGAAAGTCCTCTATTTCACTGAATGACCATTTTTTCCCCTGAAGGATTATACTCAGTTTTGCTGGGTAGGTGATTCTTGGTTGTAATCCTATCTCCTTTGCCCTCTGGAATATTATATTCCATGCCCTGCGGTCCTTTAATATAGAAGCTGCTAAATCTTGTGTTATCCTGATTGTGTTTCCACAGTACTTGAATTGTTTCCTTCTGGCAGCTTGTAATATTTTCTCCTTGACCTGGGAACTCTGGAATTTGGCTAGAATATTCCTAGGAGTTTTCCTTTGGGGATCTCTTTCAGGAGGAGATCTGTGGATTCTTTCAATTTCTATTTTGCCCTCTGGTTCCACTATATCAGGGCAGTTTTCCTTGATAATTTCTTGAAAGATGATGTCTAGGCTCTTTTTTTGATCATGGCTTTCAGATAGTCCAATAATTTTTAAATTCTCTCTCCTGGATCTATTTTCCAGGTCAGTTGTTTTTCCAATGAGATATTTCACATTGTTTTCTAATTTTTCATTCTTTTGGATTTGTTTTACAGTGTCTTGATTTCTCATAAAGTCACTAGCTTCCAATTGCTCTATTCTAATTTTTAAGGAAGTATTTTCTTCAGTAATCTTTTGGACTTCCTTTTCCATTTGGCCAATTTTTCTTTTTAGGGCATTTTTCTCCTCATTGGCTTTTTGGACCTCTTTTGCCATTTGGGTTAGGCTATTTTTTAAGGTGTTATTTTCTTCAGTTTTTTTTGGTCTCCTTTAGCAAGCTGTTGACTTGTTTTTCATGATTTTCTTGCATCACTCTCATTTCTCTTCCCAGTTTTTCCTCTGTTTCCCTTACTTGCTTCTCAAAATCCCTTTTGAGCTCTTCCAAGGCCTGGGACTGATTCATATTTTTCTTGGAGGCTTTGGATGTAGGAGCTTTGACTTTGTTGTCTTCTTCTGGTTGTATATTTTGATCTTCTTTGTCACCAAAGTTAGATAATATAGTCTGACTCTTTTTGAGCTACTTGCTCATGATCCCAGCCAATTACTTGAATTTTAAACTCTTTGTTAAGGTAAGAGTCTGCTTCCAATGTGGAGAATGTACTGTCCCAAGCTTCAGGGGTTTGTATAGCTGTTTTCAGAGATACTTGTAGGGACCTGTAAATTTTAAGTTCTTGCAAGGTGGAATGATAAGGGGTGAGGTGTTTACTCCTTTCCTGGCCTGTGACCACAAGTATTCTTTTCTGTTCTGTAACTGTGAGGAGGGGCTCCTCTCCACAGCCACTACAGGCTTCACCACGCCAGTGCTCCTCCTCAGTCCAGCACTGCGGCCCAGAACTGTGACCCAGATCCAAACACGGGCAAAGCAAGAGATTCCTGCCTCAGCACTGACAAAGAGATCCCTGCAATCCCTCTCTTATTAGGCACTGGATTCCCCCTCAGTCTATGGGCCGGAAACTCAAGAAGCAGCTGGCCCCCCAGTGCCACGCTCTTGGGGAATGGAGCTGAAACCCCGCCTTCCTCTCTGAGCACCACAGAAACAGACCTTTCCCACTGACCTTCTAAGTTGTCTTTGGCATTTGTGGATTGAGGAGTCTGGAAACCTCCACAGCTGCCTGTGATTCAGTGCTCTGAGGCCTGCTCCAGGTTTGCTGCGGCCTGTGCACCCACACCACGCTGCACTGCACTGCCAGCCCAGCACGATACACCTTTCTGATCAATCTTCCAGGTTGTCTTGGGCTGGAAATTTGTTTCACTTTGTCTTTTTGTGGGTTCTGCTGCTTCAGAATTTGTTTAGAGCCATTTTTTATGAGCATTTGGAGGGGTTTGGGGGAGAGCTCAAGCAAGTCACTGCTTTCACTCCACCACCTTGGCTCCGCCCATCAGGATGTCTTTCTAATACCATCAGCTCAAACCCTCCACCCTTTTGATGTGTTCTCTCCAATATCATTTTGCCCAGTGTCAGTTAATATCACCTTAACATCACAGATACCAGTGATTACCACAACACTTTCCAGTTGATATCTGCTCCATATTAATTAACTAATTGACATCCAGTAGCTCTTATAAAGCTGAAAAGATAAGCAAGAACCAAAGATCAAAAACACTCCCCTCCCTAAAATGAGTCACGCTATCCCCTCTACTTATCCCAAACGCTGTGGAGAGTAGGCTCCAATTTTTAAAGCAATGGCTAGAAAACACATGTTCAACCCATCTATGGGCTGGATCAAGCAGGTCATTCCTCCAAACTACACTGGAACAGTGAGCTCAGCTGCCAGCAAGCTCTGCCATGGAATCCTTTCATTGGACTCTAGTGGCTCCTACAGCTTTTAGAAATCTCGCAAGGTTGTAGCCTAGTTCCATTCCCAATGCTCTATTACTAGGAGTTGGGAAAAGTATACATAACAGGAACAGAAAACCAACAGCACTATGTGTTCACAGCCTGGGAGAGAAGATAAAGGCTTCAGACATCACCTCCACCCCCACTCCTCAGCTATTTTTTCCCTTGATTACCACTAAGAAAGAGTGCTCCATTTGGGTAGCTAATGCCTTTTGTATGTACACTCAGTTCTAGTTGTTGTTATTGCTCAGTCATTTATTTGGTCATGTCTGACTCTTCATGACCACGGACAGGTCCTTCGATCCTCCACTACCTCCCAAAGTCAGTCCAAGCTCATGTTTCTTGCTTCCATGACACTATCATATCCATTTCATCTTCTGCTGTCCCCTTTTTCTTTTGCCTTCAATTTTTCCCAGCATCAGGATCTTTTCCAATGAATCCAGTCTTCTCTTTACGTGGACAAAGTATTTACGCTTCAGTTTCAGTATTTGACTTTTCAATGAACAGTTCTAGTTCAGTAGCCAATTAAAAGGTTTTTAATTTTTTTTTTAATTTTTAGGCAATTGGGGTTGAGTGAGTTATCCAGGGTCACACAGCTAGTAAGTGTCAAGTGTTTGGTCTGAAGCTGGACTTGAACTCAGGTCTTCCTGATTTCAGGGCCAGTGCTCTATCCACTGCGCCACCCAACCTAAAAGGTTTTTCATTATCATGCAGTAAGTAGGCAAGAAACAGTTGTAGAATATCTACATATATGCTGCCATAGAGAGCCAAGCTCATCTATTTCACAATATAATGCATTTCTAGAAGCAGGATCACAAAACGTCCATGTGAGTCCCCTGTGCTTATTGCTAGGATTGGGCCCTCACTGAACAGTTACTTGTTATGCACATACATTCTCTTTTTTATTTATTTCTTATATATCTGTTTATGTTCTTATCTTCTTCAGTAAAGGATGCAAATTAAGTACAAGAGAAAGTCAGTATTATTTAACAGATCTATATGTATAACCTGTGGTCTGGAAAATCTGGGTTCAACTCCTGCATATTGGCTATGTAAAAATAGGTTCACTACTTAACTTTTTCAGTGCCCCAGAATACTGTTTAAAAATACAAATAAGAGGCCAAGTACTAATACATATTGTAGGGGGAGATTTCTACAATTCCCTATCCTAATAAAATCATAAGTCTAAACAAAAAAGAAAAAAGAAAACAATTGAAAATTTAAAAATTGAACTACTAAGCAAAACAAAATGCTGTGTTTTTAAAAGACTATGTATATGCCATATGTAGATAGCAACATTACTAATATTGATGCAAAAATATTAAATAATATCCTTGCAAAGAAATTATAGGAATACACCAAAAAATTATTCATCATGGTCATGTAAAATTTATATCAGGAACACATGATTGATTCAACCTTAGAAAAACAATTTAAAACCTAGCAGCATCAAAATAAATACATAAACAGTATCAAGAAAAATACACAAATCAATAGATGTAGAAAAGGTCTTTAATAAAGTGTAGCACATATTCTATATTAAAAACATGGAACTGCATAGGGGTGAAAGAACCTATCCCTGATATTGTCAAAAACATTTATCTAAAACCGAGATAACATTTGTAATGGAGAAACACTGGAAGCTTTCCCCAATAAGAGGTATAAATCAAGCAAACCCACTATCATTATAATGATTTGATATATTTAACTACCAAGTGGCACTACTGCCCCTAATTTGATCCTATTCACCTTTAGATCTAGGTACTGGCAGTTGGAAAAAAGATGACCAGGGTGTATTCTTATAAATATATTCACTAAGGCCTTTTTATTTTACCTGTTTTAGGGCTGGCTATAATAGTAGACTACTTGAGTCTGCAGTCACTGACCCAATAAAGGATAGTTTGTCAACAAGTCAGGGGTTCCAAAAATGAGTGGAAAAATTTCCCCAGGGCATAAGACTGGAAGTTCATGGATCCAAAGGGTTCAGTGCCAGGGCAGATGGCTAGATCTATCAACCACTCTGCAAGTCCTGGCTCTTCTACAAGACTAGACCATTTGCATCTAATGTTATCCTTCCTTACACTGCTTCTGTGCTTCAGGGCATAATGCATATGAGCAACTGGAAAACTAGTGTTGCTGCATTCCAAAACTGTTTGGTAAGTTCTAAATTTTCCTTTAATAACCCCACGAAATTGTTGTACCTGCCTCATCTGACAGGTACATAATGTTGGGAAACCCATCAAGACCAAGATGGCAGCAAATATAATGAGTCCTTTTGTTAACATACAGGTTGATTTTATTCACATGACCAAATGCTATAATTATAATGATGTTCTTGTTAGGGTAGATATGCTTTCAGAATGGGTTCAAGTTTAACCTACTACTAAAGAAAATTCCAAAGCAATCACAAAAAAAAAAAAACCTGCAGAATTTGCAACCACATTCCATCAATCATCAAAACTTCTACTAAAGTCAAAAGTCTTCAATCATGTATCCCACTGCAAAATAACTTTTGTTTCAATGTGTTTTGAAGGAAAAGGGCAGGGAAACTGTGATACCAATATCTCCTCTTCCCAAAGAGGGTTTGCTTCCAGGGCAAAGAGCTGGTGCCTCATGGTACTATCTGCTGCTGCCAAAATAAAAAAAAATAAGGTAAATCAATCACTTGTGGTTAGTTCAGATGGATAATTTGCTGGAGGATACTGGCAAAGACTTAACCTGACGTTATGTACCTTTGCCTAGCCCTCCCTACCTCTATGGTCACAAATATATTCTTGAAGAAGCAATCTGATAGGTAGGTTTACATACGGGTATATATCAAATGTTCATAATGATTGCTATACAACTGTTACCACAGACAGCCATACTGTTCATTATAAAGTTCCTGGTACTAGTGATCAGAGTGGGATGGGACCCTTATTGCTATATTATTACAGAATCAAAACTGGAAAAGAGGAAAATGGATTGTTGTAAATGCTATGCCAGGAGTTACAAAAAAATGATCCTTTCATTAATAATTTGTTGCTTCCAGATACTCTCATTTTTCCAAGAGGACAGCTATCTAAGTAGCACAACTTAGATCCCTGAGTAGCAAGTGGGTGTCCTTACTGCTTAGGAGAGGTAAGCAAAATTTAAGTTGTAAGAACAAGAAAACCAAGTACAAAATGAGATTCTAGAATTAACAGATTATGTTTGAGATTCATTTGGGCTCAGCACAGAGTGGAAGGGGAAGTAGAGGTGGAATATGGAAGCATATCCATTTGGACCTCTTTTCGTTTTAAGAAATATTAAGGGGGAAAATGCTATGACAGTATCCTAGTCTAAAATCTTTGGACTCCAAAGGCATATTCTGTTTGTGTATAGCTATTTGCCTGTTGTCTCCGTCATTAGAAAATGAGCTCCTGGAGGGCAAGAAATGTTTTTGCATTTCTTTGTATCTCTAGTGCTTAGCACAGTGCTTGGTACATGGTAAGTGATTAATCAATGCTTGTTTACTTGGCTTGACCCAAGGTTGCTGCTCAGTGACTTATTCAGGGGGGAAAAAAAACACAAAAAAGACAGCCAGGCCTAATCGCCAGCTCACCTAGCAGGGTCCCCCTATTCTAGCTGCCAAATGAAAAGAGTTGCCATCATGCTGGGATTGGAAAGGGCCAACCTATCTCCTACCATCTTTGGAAGACTCAGAGTACCACGATGCCCTCTGGAGTTTGGAGAGGACAAACAGAAGCTCTCTTTCCTCTTAACCGGTACTGCTCCCCACCCCCTACCACAGTCACAGGATTGTAGAGCGTCAAGGAAGCTCTAAGGATTTGCTATACCAAAGGAACAAATCCTTTCAGGGCTGAGTGGCCAGGAGCAGAGGCACAGATGCTGAACCACCATGTACCTAGAGGTTTTCAAGGGAGTTCTGGGTGAACACTGCTTGAGATGGCTCCTATTGGCCAATTTAAAATTTCCTCACTCGTTCAATCTCTCCACGTCCAGAATTTTCACTGGGGGCCAGCCTGCATCTGGCCTAAGACAAGTAGAGATATTTCAATTATTAGAGGATCTTTGAGATCCTTAAGACCCTATGACTTCTCATGGTACCACATGAAATCACAGTTTAAGAAACCCAAACTATAGTCCCAAACTTTCATCTTGAGTTTAAAAAAGGTGATAGACTTGGAGTTAGAGGATTTTAGGTTCAAACCCAAGCCCTGCTACTTAGGGCAAATCATTTGTCAAATGAGTGACCATTTAGCAGATGATCTCCAAGATCTGCCTTCTAGCCCTAAGTTATGTGATCCCAAAGAAATGAAATCCTACTATCTAAAGTGCATGGGTATTGCCTTGGCTGTACAGATCATTGGAATTCCAGAATTTAAAGGACTTATTTGGACCTAGGAATGTTCACACTGCTCCCTCTGCTGGCTTAGCAACTATAGTCAAATTTGAACTTAACCTACTACTCTCAATATTTTCATAGTCATAGAGTTGTAAGAAACCCTAGAGACACAGTTGGATTCATTTATTTAGTTTTCAAATAACCAAGGGAAGGAAATGAGGGATTGCTTTCAAAGAGACAAAGCAACCCTTTCATGAATGGTTTACACACTCTTTGGAGAACCATCTCTTAAAGGTGTTATGTATATTTTAATTAAATTCTGTTCATTTAATACTCGGTAGAGCCAAACTATTCACATTTCTTGTCAATTGATTACATTGATCAACAAATAGAAAAAGAAAAAGAAAGAAAAATTACCAGTCTTAAATCTTCTAAGTTCAGAGTTCCCACTTTCTTTTCCCCTGTTTTTCCGTTGTCTATACTTTCTATCATCTTTGCCAAATATCCTTGCCACCTATTCTTCTGCCATAGTCGAACACATGCATATCCACACACTTCTCTGTTGTTCCACTTTCTTGGAAATTTCTATGCAAAAAAAAAAAAGTCTAAGTATCTATAAATGTAAATGAAAGATTACATTAAAAGGTACTTATACTAATCTTAAAAGTACCTATGATAACAATACATATTTCATATTTTGTTATTGTTCATTTGTTTTCAGTCCTGTCTGACTCATTGTGACCCCGTTTGGGGTTTTCTTCACAAAGAAACTGGAGTAGTTTGCCATTTCCTTCTCCAGCTCATTTTACAGATGAGGAAACTGAGGCAAACAGGGTGAAGTAACTTATCCAGGTTCACACAGCTAGTAAGTATCTATGGTCAGACTTGAACTTACAAGAGAGTCTTCCTGGGGCAGCTAGGTGGCGCAGTGGATGGAGCACTGGCCCTGGATTCAGGAGGACCTGAGTTCAAATCCGGCCTCAGACACATAACACTTACTAGCTGTGTGACCCTGGGCAAGTCACTTAACCCCATTGCCTAGCAAAAAAAAAAAAAAAGAAGAGAGAGTCTTCCTGACTCTCATGCCTACATTCTATCCACTGTGCCACCTAGCTGCCCCTCATATTGCATATAGGAAAGCCTTTATTTCACCCTACAAACAATGCAAAACAAAAAAGAACCCCTAGGGAAAGGCACTGCACCTATGTCTCATTTTTACTGGACCTCCTAGTAAGTTCTCTCTACCACTGAAGGTCAATAGTTCTGCAATTTATAATCTTAGTGAGTTGCCCAGAGTAAAGATGTCAAAGATGGGTGAGTAGACCACATCCTGCCCACAACACTTCTGAGTGCCACTAAAATCAGATAAAAAAAATATATAGTCAATAAATATTTAGCAAAATAAATAAATATACAATAAAACATAGATAGTGTTACATTTTAAAACTAAGTTAATATGCAACCAGCAGACATTCCTATGTATATCTGATTTCCGTTGTAGTTTGACATTTCTGGCCTGGAGCATTAAAAAGCAAAAGACTTGCCTAGTGTCCCAAACCAGTGTACATTAGAGATAAGATGTGAATCCAGATCTTCCTGGCTTAGAAGCCAACTTTCTAGATACTACACCATGCTACATCGCAGGAACCCATAAACAATAAAAACAAACTTTCCTCTCCACCACCACTACCACCACCCCCCAGGCCCTATATCATCCTACAGGAACAATGTGCACTCTATGTTTGATATGCATTTGTCGATGCCAGAAAACCAACCTGTAGCAAAAAACGTATGGGCCTTCCATGTGTAAAGAGGCTCATATGTATAGGGAAATCTGTCATTGCGTGTGGTTTAAAGGGAGGCAGAATAGACATCTCTACCCTTTTCTCTACCCACCCTTCTCCAAAGGAGATTTTTATTTCTGTCAGGAAAGGAAGCAGGAGGTTGGGGCTAGAGGCCACCACTCTGCTCTCCTCAGAGAGAAGGGGCACAGAGCTAGAAGTATATCTATGTGCTTTCTTAAATATTGTTCACCTAGGGGATATGACTGAGTTCAAGCTAACTTTTTACCACTTTGTCATTTTGGAGGGAAGGGGGACCCCAAGTTCTATATCCAAGGCTTGACCCTTTTCCCACTAATGCCAGTTCCACAATGAACATACATAGAGAATAGCAAAGAGCCCATTTGTCTGAATTGTAGCAAAACAGAAATCAGAGATGGTATACATAGGATAATGTAAACCAGGAAATACAGAGTGAAACAGCTCTCAAGATAATTCAGCTCAACCAAGAAAGAGTTCTCACCCAAGGAAACTCCCTGACGTTGCTAGAGGAGCAAGCTGGGAATTGGGACGTGATGAAGACTGCCTATTCCTCTCATGTACTCCCAGGCTTTTCCTTCATCAACAAGAAGCTGGAAGCCAGAAGTGCCTGAATCTACTTCAGGACAGCTGAGAACCAAAGCTCTCACCTTCCCCCAGCTCTGTCTTGCCTCTCACATAGGGCAGGGCCTTCATCTCTACCAGTAAGGAAAGAGTCTCATACCAATGGGTTTGGGATAGGTGTGGCAAACCGTTTACCTTCTAGTGAGCCCTCTCCCAGCTCCTTTACCAGCACATTACTGGGTAATCCTTCAGAATTACAGTATTACCCTCAGGGTTGGGGGCTTCTCCAAAAAGAATATTTTGACCTTTAGGTTGCTACCTTTACTGTCCAGGTAATTCATGGTAGTACTAGAAACCAAGATAAATATTTGCTCCTCCACATCATGTCTGTCCTTGCTACTAGTACCTCTAGCTCCATAGCTTTGCTTCTCTCCAGGATGCTGGGTCTAGGAACTCTCACCACTTCTCTAGATAGCTGAGCCCAGGAGTTCTCCCTGATCATTCATTGCCTCCATCTACACCATGTCTCAAACCAAATGGTTCCCTCATTCCCTGGGTCCTCTCTGTAAACTGCTGAGAGATTCAACCCCTGCCTCTCCATGGATACCATCCTGGGGCTTGTTTGGCTAGGGTTAGGGTTGGAAAAAGAAGAGAGGCCTGACATATGACCATATTCACCTATTTATTTCTCTGTCTAGTCCTTTTTGAAATCTCTATAGTTTGCTCCCCTTTTTAAAAATGAATCCTCAAGTTGCAGTTCAGATCTATGATGTCCAGACTTAAGCAAATCTGACACCAAGGCATAATCACTGATCTTCAGTGAGGCATGAATGAGTCAATAAATTCTCATCCCAAGGATATACTCCACTTCCATCAAGTTAGTGTGACCAAAATCCCAAATAAAGTGATGGGGAACTTACACAGATATCAAAGTTAGAAATTAAAGGCCTCAGCCTTTACTCTCATCAAGATGATCAGTCTCCTGGTCTCCTCCACAAAATAATGATATCACCAGCTGTAATGCCATCAGTAAATCTTTCAGTTTCCAATCTTCTTCATCCATTTATTTGCATTGATCACTGAACAAAGAGTATTTAAATCAAAATGAGGAGGGAGGAAGGGTAAAGCAGACTGGTAGGAATGGTTTTTACATTTTTAATACAGTTTTATTATACTTTAGAATGTAAAACCCATTCATAGCTGTAGGGCCATTTTTAGAACACAAACAGTTTAATTAAGCTGTCAAGTCAACAAGCATTTATTAAGTACCTACCATGTGCCAAGAACTGTGCTAATAATCACTGAGGATACAAAAAAAAAAGTCCCTGCTCTCAAGGAGTTCACAGTCTAAAGACACCATGTAAAAAATACTTGCAAACAAGATATATACAGGATAAATTGGATATTTCAACAGAGGGAAGGCACAGGCATTAAGGAAGATTGAGAAAGTTTCTTGTAGATGATGAATTTTAGCTGGGATTTGATGGGAACCAGGGAAGCCAAGAGATGAAGATGAAGAGGGAGAGCATTCCAGGAGCAGCCAGCAAAAACAGGGAGTCAGGAGTGTCTTGTGTGAGGAACAATAAGAAGGCCAACGTCACTGAATTACAGAGTACATGGATGGAAATGAGGTATAAGAAGTCTGGAAAGGTAGGGTGACAACAACTATCTGAGAGTTCAGTGAGTAGGTACTGCTGCCATTAACCAATCAAAATGCTGAGATAGGAAACAATTATACTCAGAGCACAGGCTGCATTGAACACTTATCAATCTGTCAGTGAGCCCAGTGATATCAGTTTTGGTAACCTTATATAAAAGGTGAATATATAAGCAGGATAGGTACAATGGAATTTCACAGAGAGCAAAAGGGGAAGATGAGGATTTATACATCAGGAAGCAAGCAATAGGAGTGAAAGATAAGGATAGAGGTAACTGGAAGGTCAAGGAACTTCAGACAGTGTCAGGAAGTTCAGGGTAGAGTCTGAGTTCAAATGTGACCTCAGACACTTACTGGCTATGTGACCCTGAGCAAGTCACTTCATCCTGTTTGCCTCAGTTTCCCCATATGTAAAATAAGCTAGAGAAGGAAATGGCAAACCATTCCAGCATCTTTGCCAAGAAAACCTCAAATGGGGTCATGAAGAGTTGGACACAACTGAACAACAATAGTAAATAAGAACTGACTATTTCTATTACTTGTTGATCTTTTTTAAGTATCTGACTGTAGAACATAATCCAACCTTAAAGGTTCTCCTCCAACAAGGAAGCAGAAGCAAGAACAAACAATAATTAGATTGACAATTTGAGTGTTGTGCTGTTATTCATTATATATTGAAAGAGGGTCTGTAGCACATTGGATGACTCATTTGTGGGAAATTTAGAGAAAGCCATAAAAAATAATCATAAAGGTTGAGATAGCATATATGAGATGAAGAAATATCTGTGATGATATAATAAGAATGACAATGAGAGCTACAATCACATGACCAGCAAGATGGTGGAGTAGTCATTTTCCATAAACTTACTCAGCCTAAAAATGTCAGAACAAGGAATTATGTGCCAAATATATAGTAACTAAAGTTGAAGCCACAAAACAAGAAGACAGGAACACTGGATAAGGTAAAAACTCCAAGATATACCATGACACAACTGTAGTACTTAGAGCTTTATTTTAACACCCCATACCTATGCCCATCATATGTCGGGAAAAGCCAGCACAAGCAACTCTAGAGGTCTGTGCTTTAGGGTCCTTGTGGGTAGGGGAAGGGTGTTGCCTAATTTTCTGCCCACCACCAAGATGACAGGTATTATCATCTCCATTTTACAATACCCATTTTATAGATGAGGAAACAGGCTAAGAGAGGTTGTATCTTCCTTGTGATCACACAGCTCTTAAGTGTCAGATAAAAGATAAAAAAATGAGCACTGGCATATTGATACATTACTTTTTAGTACTTCACTTCATGATTTAACCTCTAATCTAGACTGTAAACTCCATTAGGTCAAAGATGATGTGTTATACTTGGTTCTTTGCTTTCACACAACATCTAGGCTGGGCCCTTAGGGGTAATCAGTAAGAACTTAATTGATTGGTTGCTTAGTTAATCTGTAGTTGTCACTCAATGGAGCAGGGAATTACATGACATAGCAACTTCTACTGACCAGGCTGGAGTAGAAAATAGGAATAGATCATGCTACAAATAGTAGTATTCTTTCTTCTCATTGGCTTTGTGCAAACTTGGCTTCTCACTTCGCCACTCAATTAAATCTGCTTTCTCCAAAGTTACGATGATATCTTAGTTGACAACTCTCTGATCTTTTCTCAATCTTGATCCTTCTTGACATCTCAGTAGTCTTTAACACTGACACCTTCTTTACCTTGATACTCTCTTCTCCCTTGGTTTTCATGACACTGCTCTCCCTTGGTTCTCCTCTTACCTATGTGATCACTGTTTCTCAGTCTGCTTTTCTGGATCTTCTTTTCTGCTCATAGTGGATGTCCTGGACCTTCTTTTCTTCTCCTTCTATACAATTTCACTTAATGATCTCATCAGCTCCCATTGATTCAATTATCATCTTCATGATGATGATGATTGTGAAATCTACTTATCCAACAAAAACTCTCTCATGACCTCCAGTTTCACATTCCCAAACGTCTATTGTATATCTTGAACTGGAGGTCCATAGACACTCAAACCGTCCAAAACTAAATTCATTATCTTTCTCCCCATAGCCTCCCCTCTTCCTAACTTCCCCGTTACTCTTGAGGGCACCTCCCATCCAGGCACCCAGGTCTGCAACATTGGAATCATCATTTTTTCAACACTCATATTCAATCAGCTGTCAAGTCCTAATTGATTCTACCTTCATAACAGTATCATATGCTAATATATGATGGATCTGTGATTTCTTCACCATAGTAAACAGTTATTGTGGAATATTCCTCTACCAACACTGATCATACAGTACTACTATAAGATACTGTCATTTTTTTTTTTGGTACCAGACCCATGACTACATTGGTATAGGGAACATCCATTGAGGAAACATCTACCACCAATGTTGTTTTTGTTCAGTCGTTTCAGTCATATCTGACTCTTCATGACCCCATTTGGTGTTTTCTTGGCAGAGATACTGAATTGGTTTGCCATTTCCATCTCCAGTTCATTTTACAGCTGAGGAAACTGAGGCAAACAGGATGAAGTGACTTGCCCTAGGGTCACACAGCTAGTAAGAATCTGAGGCTAGATTTGAACTCAGGAAGATGAGTCTTTCTGTCACTCTATCCACTGTGCCACCTAGCTGTCCTCTACCACCAATGCAGATCAGCAATTGCTCTGCAATTTATGGTCCTAGAGAGTTGCCTGGGGCACTGAGAGATAAGTGAATTGCCCATGGTCACACAGGCAATATGTGACAGAAACAGACTTAAACTCCTTACTCCAAGGTTGGCTTTCTCTCCACTACATCCACTATACCACCTGTTACTCTGTTACTATACTAGGGTCAGTTTGTTAGTTAAGGTTATTATAAATATAAATATATATATACAAATATGTGTACATGTACATATATATACACACATGTATATATAAAGTCAAATGTATAATATATAAGCATAATAATATAATCAATATAAGCATAACAATAAATAATATTAAATATATAATTACATAATGTTACACATGGACCTAATCAAGCAGTAGATTAATAATTTTGTATGTACAAATATTATATAAATATAGATGTATTACTAGGGACAGCTATGTGGCTCAAGGATAAAAACACTGGGCCTAGAGTCAGGAAGACCTGAGTTTAAATCCAACCTCATAATACTGGTCAAGTCACTTAACCTCTGTCTTATACCTCAGTTTCCACAACTCTATAATAACTGAGATCATAACAGCACCTACCTCCTGGGGATTGTTGTAAGGATCAAATAAGATAATGTTTTTAAAGTACATAGTACAATGCCTAACACATAGTAGGTGCGTAAAAATTGCTTGTTCCCTTCCTTTCCTTCTCATTTAGATATGCCATCTCTTTGCCCAAGGATTATTCTCTTTCAACCTTGATTTAATGAGAAGTCTCAACATGCCAGGTCTCTAGATGGATGCACATGGTACAGCTTCATTTCTAGAACAGCAAGTCTCTAGTACACAGGCATTCATAATTACTAGGTTAATCCATCGGCTCCTTCAAATTAATAGGCCAGAGCTCTGAAGTAGGCAAGAATTGCCAGAACACTCCCAAGTGTTTGGAAAGCTCCAGCTGGTTGTTTATTCATTTCCATGAGATTTGATGTACTATTTAACTACCTTACCTCTTCTTGGAATCGAGCCCTTTGGCTGACTCTGCTCTGTGAAAACAACATGTCCCTCTCCTGTCTCAAAAAAGAACATTTTGTCTTTGTTCTATCTCAGCACTTTTTTTTTTAAGAAAAAAAAATATTTATACTGTACTCTGAGTTTTAGGCACAGGTCTGCCAAAAATCATTTTATTTAACATTAATCCATTATCCAACTATTTTCTAGATTAGAGAAAGAGATGTCTAAACCAGCATAGTCTCTCCTACCCTACCATGCCCTTGGACATGTTCTTCTTCTCCAAGATGATTTGAGGTAACATTTATAAGAATCTTGAACAAGGAAAAGATCATAATATGTTAAATACAGCTTTGGGTTTGCATTCCAAAATAAGTTACTACTAAGTTAAGAAACTTGGACATTTCCCTACAGGTTGGATCAAGAGTTTTAGGAAGACCTGGGTTCAAATCCCACCTTGGATATTTACTAGCTGTAAGATCTTGGCCAAGTCAGTCAACTTCTATCTTCTATCTCAGATTCCTCATCTATAAAATGCAGATAATATTAGCACCTATCCAACAGGGCTGTTGTGAAGATCAAATGAGATAACCAGCACCTGACACACAGTAGAGGCTCTTTAAATGCTTATCCCCTTCCCTTCCCACAAATATAATGAATAAAAAAGACAGTCTCTACCCTCAAGGAGCTTACATTCTAATAGCATCTACCTCCCAGAGTTGTAATAAGAATGAAATGAAATATTTGTAAAGTGCTTTGCAAACCTTAAAATGCTAGCTATCTTTTTCAATCTAAGGGACCTTTTCTCTGGGATCAATATCTAAATCCCTTTTCGATGAAGAAGGGTAAGTTATCAAGCCAATTGTTTCAGGGAATGAGGAAGGCAAAGCTCTTAACCAGAGTTACCCTTAGTTCAAAGTTTGGTTACCACTTTTAATCCATTTCCTTAAAAAGGGCCTTTTGTCCTCCACTATCTAAGCCATCCAAGGAGACACATCTGAAAAGGGTTTTAGGCTAGAGAAAATATTATTTCTTAGTATTTTCAGTGAAACTAAAAAGGAGGTTTTTAATATGCTTCCAAAATTCCCAAATTCATTCTTTTATTTTTTTCCTATCCTTTCTTATCTTCCCTTGGTGTCATTTTTCTACTCTTTTCTTCACCCCCTTTCCATCTCCAATCTCTGCTTCTCTTCAAAAGAACCTTGTCAGGAGGACCTGAGTTCAAATCCGACCTCAGACCAAACACTTGATGCTAGCTGTGTGACCCTGGGAAAGTCACTTAACCCCAATTACCCAGAACAAACAAAAAAAAACTTTGTCCTAACCTCTCTGCATTTTGAAGCTTCTTCACTCTAACCCTCCCTCCTGCCTCTTTACCACTTCCTCATTTCTCTGTTGCTTTTGTCTCACATTTACATCTCTTTCCTCCTGTATTTCCCCTCCTCATTGTCTTTACTCCTCATCTGGATGATGGTATGTCATTCTTAGACCATACATCTTTTATTTGGTTGCTATAGAAATATGATCTTAAAAATCTGCCTTATGTTATGTAAATGTATGTAACTTAGAAAAAAATTGACAATAATCCTAAAATCCATATAGGAAAACTATACATCTTTCATTATGAAATTTATCAAATCAATCAGTACCTAATGAGTACCTACCACATGTCCATGCTGGAGTAGGCTGTATACAAAATAAAGAAGCAGTGGGCTGAAAAGAAAATAAAAAGCAATGGGCTGAAGGGTCAGGAGATTTTGTTTAAAGTCTCAGCTCTTCTATTAACTCTTTATATTACTTTGGACCAGTCACTTCACTTCTCTGAATCCCAGTCTCTTCTGCTATAAAATAAGGAGTTTGGAATCAACTGATGATCCTTTCCTGTCCTAACAATGCAGGTCTAAGGTTGAATCCCTGCCAGCCTCAACAGCTTAAAATCTATTAGGAAAAGGACACACAAAACAGATACATGGAATAATCAATAAATCATAAGTGTTCATAAAGCATTTGGATGTGCCTCCAAGGATTTTTCTTTTAAACAAACTTTTTTTGAACACTCAGTCATAAAGGCCCTTATTTACATTCATCAAACTAAAGAAATTAAAACTAAAAAATTCACATTTTACTTGAAAATGGAACAAAAATGCAATTTTTTGAGACAGGGTATAACTAGGCATATATAAATGCAGTGTTACATAATAACAACATCCTATGTTGATCTGATAAAATTAAACATTATATTAATAAATTCTCTAGTAGCAAATAATGAAGACATTAAGGAGAGGTAATCAATAAATAATTACTCATTCATCTAAATACAAGAAGAATCATTGGAACAAAGAAATCATTCCATTAAAATATCATCTCAGTGAAAATCAATTTCTTTTTGATATTTAAATACCAGTGAAGTCATTAAAATTTAAATATGTCTAATTGACTCGTATGAAAACATTCAGTAATTAATCAATTTGGCAGCCACTGTGGCACAGTGGATAGAGAGCTGGGCCTGGAAACAGGAAGACTCATCTTCCCTGTTTGCCTCAGTTTCCTCATCTGTAAACATGCTGGCAAAGGAAATGGCAAACCATTCCAGTATCTTTGCCAAGAAAACCCCAAATGGGGTCATAGAGAGACAGACACAACTGAAAACAACTGAACAACAAAAGTAATCATTTATCTTTCAGGTCTGTCTCTGCAGGAGCATGTTTATTACCTTCAAGTTCACATTACCAGTTTTATAATAAATAGCAATACACTGTTAACCACAAGAAAGCCCAAGGGACACATGAATTCCTTTCCAAATTTTCCTCAGTATTTTCTCTACTAAGTAACATTGTATAACTATTGCCAGTTTTTATAGCACATGTTTTCTTTCTTTCTAGCTATCTTTCTCTCTCGCTCTTTCTTTTCTTTCTTTTCAAACACAGATACTTGTTTGGTCTCATTCTAAGCTAATAAACTAGAATTGTTTTGATATATGAATCTATTTTATAAAACATATTCCATTTTGCAGTCCACATAGCTGTTGCTTCATTAGTCTAAAAGCTAAACTAGGGCAGGGTAGTAGATTTGCTCAAAGATGGACAATTGCCCAAGGATGAAAAATTTGTCCCTAGGTGGAATATTGAAAGGATCTCAGGGCTAGGCTGTCTGAGAAAGGAGGAAATGCTTCCCCAGGCCAAGGAATTCTCAAAAGCCTCTCTGCTCTAGAGAAGAGCTGTTGGGCCTTCTCAAAGGATTTTTTTTAAAAAAGGAGCTAGCAATTATGTAGCACTTTAAGATTTGCAAAGCACTTCATAAATATCTCATTTTATCCTTATAACAACTCTGGGAGGTAGGTTGCTATTAGTATGTATGTTCCTTGAGAATGGGGACTGTCTTTTTTGCTTATATTGGTGGGAAGGGAATTTATATAGCACCTACTATGTGTCAGACAGATCTCATTTGATCCTCACAACAACTCTGTGAGGTAGTTGCTAATATTATCTAATAATAATTATCTAATAATAACCCGAAACCCAGTCTCAATGTAGGAGGAAAAGGAGGGAGGAGAATTCAGGCAAGGCAAAACAGAGGAGGCTGTTTTCAAGCCCCTGTTGGAGGCAAGCGTCTTCCTAGGAATGCCTATGATTCACCCCCAACCCCAGGACTTTCCTTTCCCTTGAAGCCTTTCCTTCTTAAAAATTCCTTCAGAAATGAGCCTAGGATTTTTAGTTAAGCGATAGGAAGGGACATAGAAAAGCCCAGCTCTCTCACATAAATCCCAGCAAATATTTGAAAATTACCCCAGAAATTCCAATGATAAAGAAAACCAAAAAGAAAGAAACAAGCTGTTCTATACAGTCCAGAAGAGCAGAAGAAGCTTTCCAGAAGCCTGCAAAATTTCGCCTGGGTATGGATTCAATTTCCTTCCCCCTATGGAAGCTAGCATGAGTGCATGGAGAGGGAGAAGCCGGAAGGCAGGGAGAGGCATCATGCTAATGAAGCCACCTGGAATCCAGGTAAACCAGCCTCAAATCCACAGATCCAGGAAGAGAAGCCACACCTGGGAGGACAAGTAAATAAGCCAAAGGGAGGTAGAGATGAGGATGAGAGCTATGCCAGGGAAGCCAACCAACCAGTACTTCTGAGCAGGGGTGTTGAAAATCATCATGAGCTCCAGAAATGGGGGGTCTGGAGCTAGATCCTGAATCCTAGTCTTTCAGAAAAGAAGCAAGGACAGAGCTAACCTCTATAAGTGACTGTGCACGGAGACATGGTCATGCATTTCTCTAATCATTAGTAGTCCTGGAAAGAGTCAGGGCCAAGTTAGGGCCTGGGTGCCAGCAATAGGAGGTTCTAAACAGGACCTTCTGGGGCAGCTAGGTGGTACAGTAAATAGAGCACTTGGCTCTGGAATCAGGAGGACCTGAGCTCAAATCAGGCCTCAGACACTTACTAGCTATGTGACTCCAGGCAAGTCATTTAGTCCCATTGCCTCCCCCCCCCCGCAAAAATAAATAGATAGATAGATAGATAGATAGATAGATAGATAGATAGATAGATAAATGAAATTAGATCTTCTGCATAGTATGATCTCCAACATTCCACTGAGGCTCATCAGCACCATAGCAGAGGATGGAACCAAATCCCAATAGGAGATAATACCAGGAGGAGAAGAGAGTCCAGTCAAGGCAAGAACCAGGACTGAATCAACAGATGACTTAGAGAGGGGCTGAAGACTGAGGGAGAGGATGGGATCTGATACCAACCTTATCATCTTGATCAGCAATGGTACAACATCCAGCCTACATAAAGACAGAAGCAAATAAGTTTTGCCCAGGCCATCCAAGGAGACCAGAAGGACCAGAAGGTAATGGGCCAAGCAAAAAATCCTAAACCAAGGGGCAGCTAGGTGGCACAGTGGATACAGCACTGGCCCTGAAGTCAGGAGGACCTGAGTTCAAATCCAGCCTCAGACCAAACACTTGACACTTACTAACTGTGTGACCTTGGGCAAGTCATTTAACCCCAATTGCCTGGAAAAAGAAAAGAAAAGAAAAATCCTAAACCAATAACAGGCTGAAAATGTGAAATAATGGAAGAAACCACAAATACAATGGAGAAATACAAGAAAGGAAGCCCAAGAAAGAACCTCATAAAAAAAGAGAAATTCCACAGCAACTTCAAGCAGAGTCTAAGACCACGCAGAGAACAAAACAAGAAACTGCCCTGACTACAAAGACTACAAGAATGGCTGTAAGAAATTAATCCTGAGGAGCAGCTAGGTGGCACAGTGGATAGAGCACTAGCCCTGGATTCAGGAGGACCTGAGTCCAAATCTGGCCTCAGACACATAACACTTACTAGCTGTGTGACCCTGGGCAAGTCACTTAATTGCCTAAAAAAAATTAATCCAGAGATTAAATGAAATTATAAATGACATGAAAGTTCAAGGGGAAATTGGGGAAAAAAAGAATAAACAGCTTAGAAGAGAAGACAGAAAATGTTACATAAGTAGTGGAGCCTTTGAAAAACAGAATAGAGCAAGGAGAACCAATGACTCCACAAGAAAAGAAATATTAGAAGAGAGGTCCTTAACCTGAAATCCATGAATTTGGGGTTCTTTTAATATTTTGATAACTATTTTAATATAATTGATTTCCTTTATAATCATATGTATTTTATTTTATACATTTAAAAACATTATTCTAAAAAGCAGTCCATAAGTTTCCCTAAACTGCCAAAGGGATCCATGACACACACAAAAAAGGTCTTTTTTAAAATCCTATATTAGGAAAAAAAAAGTCATTCCGCTTCCGGCAGCCAAGATGGCGGAGTAAAAAGGTAGTTGCTCTCACTCTCCCCTATCAACCTCTGAAAACCCAGAAAATATCACCCCAGAAAAAAACCCTGAAACAACTGAACTAGAAAAAAGACAGGGAGCAGCAGTGCCTCAGCAAAAATAAGGGAAGCAGCACTATAAAGGGCCCCAGGCAGATAAGCACCCTGCCACATTCATCTGAAAGGAGCTGAAGAAAGAAAAAAAAAAGTCAAATGAAAGAAATTAAAGAAAATATAAAAGATCTATTGTCAAAATTTCCTAACCTTGAACACAGATCAAGAAGAGTTCATTTAAGATTCACCAAATTCCCTGAAAAATAAAATACCCAGATTAATAGGGGAGAGAAAGAGAGAGAATTTGAATAATCTCAGAAAAAGAATTTGAACAAGTTATAAAGGAACTTCTGAAAGAAAAAAAAAGATCAGATGGATCTACAAGTAAATGTTATCAAATTATTGAAAGATAAGCTGACTCAGTGATCTACTGTTCCCAACTCTGCTTGTCAATCGGTGCTGGGGGAGGAGTCACCCAATCTGCATCTTTTGTATTATCTGCTATCAATACATAGCAGGTCATTTCCTACCCATTAAATAGCATATACAGGCAATTCAGGAAGAACTAAGATGTATTGGCCCATCCCATCTTGCTGACATTGACCTATCCAAATTGCCTTTATCTCATTACAAAAGTTATCAATAAAATCTAACTCCATCTTAAATCCTTTGCTGATCAATGTGTTGCTCCTTTGATGTACCTTTAACAAACTCCTTTTAATTCTCTTTCCTGAGTTTTGTCTTGTTAATAAGGGCAAAAACCTGAACAAAGAATTTTCCTTTTAACAAAACATTCAAAGAATAACTAATTCTAATGTTACATAAATTACTTGCCA